TACTTCGCTTTCTGAAACGAAACATCTGAAATAGCAATTAATACGGACAAGCGATGCCATCACTCTTGAACAATGAAATTATAATGCTGCTAGCCACGCCTGATTGAAAGGAATGTCCGCTAAACTCGTTGTCTAATTGTGTTACTGGACAAAATATCTCTATGCAGTCTAAATGGACTTCGGTCGGACAATAAATACTATTCTTGTAGTTGATACAATGTACTTTAAAAAATTACGTCGGTGAAATAGTAAGCTAACAATATGTCAAACGTAAATATAAACAGTGATGAAGATAATTTGTCAGCAAAAGTTCTAAATTGCAGTTTTTCACGCGATCGTATGTATTTAGGCCTCTTCAATAACTTCAGTTGATCATGATGTCAGTTCTTCACATAAATACGCTATAAGTATCACTTATCCAATACACCTTTCCACTCTCCTGTCAATCATGAGTTAATTGACCAATCACATGTGGTAAATTTACCACATGTGTAAACATTTGGTAGCAGCACGTGTTGTCGGCCATAACCTCGGTCAAACATTCTTATCTAAACAGTTAATTTGATCTAACTTTTCTTGAATTTTCACAATTAAATCGTCCAGAATTTGTTTTTGGGAAAGGAATCAATGTAAGAGGGTAGAGTAAGGTCAATTTGTCAACTTGAAACAAAAAAAAAACTTGTTTCAATATATGAAAGTTATTACTAAATCAATTAAAAAGGAATATAATGGTAGTGCTTATTGTTTTTGAAACATTGTTAAAAGGCTATTTTGAAAAATAAAACAATATATATATTCTGAAACACAAGATTTCAATTGGTGTACAAACTGAGTTGAAATTGATATTTTTTGCATTAATTTAAAAAATTTATACAATAAAACATGCAAGTTACTATGTAAAATTTCTGGAAAGTACAATTATAATATAGTAAAGATTCAGCAACAAATTAATTGACACCTTTCCATATTTAATTACAAAGAATAATTCATCTCTAACTTTATTCAGATGCTTCATAACAAATAAGATAATGTTTAATTTTGACTTTGGTCTACTGTGAGAATATTTGCTGATTGTACTTGAACCTTTTCAAATTTTGTGTATGAATTAAAAAAAAATGAAAGGAAGTGAGAAGTATCGGATATATTTTATTTTCTTAATTTGAAAAAAAGGTGAGTAAAGTGTGCAAAGATTCCTGTCTGTAAGGACAAGACGAACTACAATGACCAAATATTCATGTAAGCAAATAATAAATTAATTTTCTTTTGTTCTTTATTTTTAACTTAGTGAAAGGAATTTTAATTATCATAAGTTATCTATGGATATAAAAAAAGAAAACCGGTTAAATGTTATTTGATAAACAATCTAATAGCTACTGGAGCAATGATGCTTGTTTTACAAGTTGACCCATGCTGTGTTTGTCTACACAGTAAACACACTTATCAGCATTCATTAGCCATGCTTAATTAAACCTGTAATTCATCATCATAATTTATCTTATCAATCATGCAATGTTATATTCTATATCTAGTTGTTAGACTACACTTTTGGTGAATGAGGGTGCTTGAAATTTGCAATATTTTAATTGTTTCTTTTTATTCAGTATAAATAGACATAATTTCTTCAAAATGTCATAAATTTATCTCTCAACTCTTCAGGAGTAACTATATCATCATACTTTAACACAAAAAAAAATATATGAACAATATATTGCTCTTATTTATATTTGTTACAACAAATTCTTTACTTTGTTATTATTCAATGTTCAAAATAACCGCCATTTTGTTAATTAGCTTGTCCAAGGATGCTGAGTTGCCATGTGTTGCTAAGGGGGGCGGAGCATACCAGTAGAAAATGGAAAGGTGTATTGGTTGAATGAACAACAGACAAAGAGCTTCTCCTCCATATTCCAAATATGAAATAAAGAAAAAACGAATGTAACTGTGTGCACAATATCTGGTATCATTTAACATACTAAACCTTACTAAGTAATAATCAACCAAATTACAAAAAAAAAAAACCAACTACTAGTAAGTAGTAAAATAATAGTTTCAATCAATCCAACTATTACTGTATCGTGACATCTGAACTTGTGATGAGTTAGATGTTTGCCCTATGTTGAAGTGTCAGTGTGACTTGAGATAAAGGACGGCAATAAAAGCATATTGTGATATTGTGTTATGAATTGATATATACCATATCCTTTTCTACTTGCTCATAGTATGTAATCGTTGTCGGGGACAAATGTATATATATTAGGATAAAACGTTAAGTTGCATGACTTGTCTATCATTCATTGTGTCATGGAACCTTTATTTCGTTAATTTTCCTAATCTGTAATCAGATTTACGTAGGTAAATTGATAAGGTCGTCGTTGTTGAATACTTGAAGGTTAATTGTTTGATGAACTATAACAGACAGTCTTAATGACTGTTAGTTTAATGTACAAGTAGTTTTGTGGACCTAGTAGAGGTAAATGATATTTGATGGGTGTTACATGTAGAAAGTGTCGAAAACTTTCATGAATAAAATATAATATATGACATGCGGGAGAGTCGAGTATGAATAGTTACAGCGAATGGACATGTATCTGCTTAACTATGTAAATTTGGTAAAGTGTATATATACATGTATGAACATACATTTGTAAAATTGTAAATGTGAAATTGCATTTTTAAACCAATGCATAGGAAGAACCCCGTGGCTTGCCCAATTGTACCGCGATTTCGCGGGCATCATCTAGTACCATATAATAAATGTGTTGTAGTCCGATGATTTTACTCTCATTCTCATGATTCTTGTGAATCCGTAGCATAGTGTCAAGTAAGAGCCTCAATGCAGAACGTAGTCTTGTTGAGTGTTAACAATAATAATGTATCATGATCTATAAGAGTATAGTGTAACGTTTACTAAATACAACCTGGTGTAACATCTCTGTAATCATAGTTCCATATGTACATGGTATACAAAATCTGAAGTCTATGTGCACGTGCTAAATCAGGTGATCACCATAAACATGTCAATGATAAAACAAATATTAAATAGAAAATTTCACATTCAAGATGAACCTATGCACTTGCGAACCTTGTGTAACACAACAATTCTTTAAAAATAAAAGATATATATATGTATATATAAATAAATAGAAAGTAATTGTTTCTGTCTCTTGCCTACACGCGTACGTTCTATGAATGTCGAAAATATATATACAACATCGTGAACTCAATAAGGCGCAATAAATTCTCTTCTGTAGATCTTATATCGAGTGAATGTGTAGATAATTCAAATGATCATGCTAAATTGCTGCTCGTCAGTTTCAAACTGCACGCATAATTTGTTGTATGACCAAAATATGAATTGAGATGACATGTCTATCGATTATTAATCATTTAAAAATATCTATTTTAACGATAGCTTTCAGAATCAATGAAAAATCTAGAAACTGAAATATACAATAAACTGACCTGTCTAGAAGATAAATTTGTACCAGATTCTCAAGACACGTCTAAAATTGTTGGTATACCAGTGCAATCTTATCTGTAAGCCAATATCCACTCCGAGTCATTAGCAGAAAATATCGGCATTGACAGAAACGCAAGCGTAAATAACAAACTAGTGAAAAATTCTGACGTACGTTTAGTGTTGTATTCTAGATATATTTATATACATAGTTGTTACCATTTGAAATTTAGCATCCATTTCTATATTGATTTGAATTTTTTGCACTGCTACTGCTACTAGCTAATTAATGCAACTGACTGAATAGTCCTGACAAAGATTGAAAATTAACACGTGCACCAAGTTCATGAGACGGTTAAGAAAACATTGCCGTCTCGACCACAGACATCATAAATCTAGTAATAAAATGTGTATCGTCCACCTAAATAAATAATGGATTTTTGACAGAAGCCGAGTCGGACAGAACATGAAACACTAATATAAACATCAATTAAAAATTTCTAATTAAAAATGATATACATATATCTTATCGATTCAGATTACATTGTTTTTATACATTCAGTGAAAAGTGAAATACTTTTATAATGAGACATAACAGCAGAGCAGGTGCGTTTAAATAACAAAAACAAAAAGGTTTGTGCTACTACAAATGTTAAAACTTTACATGTTTTTTTTTATTTCTGTTCCCCCATTTTTCACTGCAAATTAAATAAATTAAATACATATTCATGAAATGTACTAATTCATTGGTTGTCTTTTGTTGCTGTAGATCATATTTGTATACTCAAGACTTTAGTTTTCTCGTTTGAATGTTTTACATTTGTCATTTCGGGGCCTTTTATAGCTGACTATGCGGTATGGTTTTTGCTCGTTGTTTAAGATCGTACGGTGACATGTAGCTGTTAAACTATTTTACTTCATTTTCGTGGAGAATGTCTCATTGGCAAACATATCTGATCTTATCTTTTTATAAGAAAAGAAGTCAGACCCATCGTTCACTCACACGGAATTTTGGGTCCTAAATGCTCTCTTCAACTTCTTACTTCATCTGGCCTTTTTAAATTTGATTTGAGCGTTACTGATGAGTCTTTTGTAGACGAAACGCGCGTCTGACGTGCAAAATTTTTATCCTGGTATCAATGACGAGTTTAACTACTCTAAAACATTTATCAAATTTAAAGCACTTGACGACAGACTTTAATTTTAGATGATTTTGTTTATGTGTTATCTAAGGTAAATATAGTCTTTAACCTCTGAAAATTTCTAGTGTGCCATTCCACAAAATATTTAGGTAGATTTTGTTTAGTGTTTTTTGGAACTTTTAAACATTCCACCTGACAACCAACCAGACAATAATCAATGTCCAGATGCAACTCGACGTATTTTGTGTACTTTTGTTGCTTAGTTGGTGTCTCATTGACGTTTCCTTCAGATTGTTTGTATTAATTTTTGTTGTTATCAACGTCACCTTTAGTTCATCCAATTACATTTGCAAACATAATATAGATACCTTGGTAACATTATAGGTGGTAATTAGTCAACGTCTACATAAAGAGATAACGCCAGGATAACATAGCTGAAGGTTATTCCGCTTCTTGAACGCTCCAAGTTCGAACAATATTAAATTAAAATGGAGTTTTGAGGTAGGTGATGTTTTATTTTCTATTTCATTGTATTTTTCTTACATTTATGGATTTCAGCAAGTCAACATGGTGGGCTCGCCTTAGTTATGACATGTGGATTTGACGTTGTGTTACTGTAGCTAACAAAAAAAATGTAAATTAAAATTGACAAATGCTTGAATTTAGAATTATAAGGATAAAACACGTTTTTTTCTTGAGTTTCTTTAGGAAATCATTCCTGCAAGCCATATATATTTTAACCCTCTGGCTGCCGAGTCCTTTTCTTGCATTTCCGCGCCAAAAGCGTCCTGACGTTTCATATTTGCGACGTTACAAAACTTGTGCCCTTCAGTGTGTAGAAGCCATAAATGTCCCTTTTGCAGCAAAATGGTTAAGTTTAATCTCAGAGGGGTTCAATAGAATAGTCACACACCTGGCCCTCTTTTCTTCGCTTCAGTTTTTTAAATTATAGTATTTGTCCTTTTTGAATCGAAATAATTCATACAACCCATAGAGTATTATCACTTTCTCATGGCATGGGCCGTTATATTCTTTAATTTTATTCCTCGCTTACGTTCGTGATAAAATTCGAATATAACGGCCCTGTCCATGTGAAAATTCCCAACAAATAATTGGCATGCATGAATTATTTCTATGTTAGAAAATCGCCCTGTCGGCCATGTGGTTCTGAGCAAAATGATAAGAAACTTTTCATACCAGACCTTATTTACATCATTTCACCTTTTACGCTCAGTAAATTCAGATGAAAAGAACAAACATGTGTAAGATGAACAGACGGATGGACAGACAGATAAACACTCGCCCTTTGGCTTGACGTGCGTTTCAAACATTAATTCGGACATCGTTTATGCTAAATTTCGTCCCGCCGAATGTAACGTTTTTTTTTTATTTGAACGCTTCACCAAGGGTTAACTCCTTGAAACTGTATCGGATTCTTTTGAGTTGACAAAAGGCCTAATATTACATTAAACTATGCCTAATAGCTAGTAGGCACATTTCTCTTACAACATACAAATCGTATTGATACCAAGTGACTTAGTCAATAAATTTATCGGTTTTCAAGAGCTAAATTGACAGGCGCGGATCAAGAAATTAGAAACTAGAGGACCTTATTTTGACACAAGATTGGATGTAATTTTACATTTATTAAATTCTTTTTACTTTTGGGGAGGCGTCGACCCACCCCATCCCGTTCTGAATCCGTGCCTGAATGGCTCCCTTTTCACGTTTGAACAATTTAGGTCGCATAATGGGGGATAAATTTGACGAAGTAGAAGTCTGATTGAATGAGAAATAAGACAAAAAAAAAAAATAATAAATTTAATTCTAAATTTATTCCAAGACAAGAAAATTCTCAAAAAAGACAAATTTAAAAGAATCTTACTTTCTAAAAACAGCTGAAAATGATAAGAATGCAAACTTGATTTTAATAGTTTAATAATAACTATAACATTTAATTTTATCCTGTTATTAACGCTTATACATTTATTGTACAAAGTCGCTTGCTTTTCTAAGATTGCGCATGACAATTTTACACTAAATCCGTTGGATATGTACTGATTGATTTTTTAGTCTGAGAAAACATGGTTTATTAGTTTACTTTTGACTTTGAACGGGCTCTCTGTGACTGTGAGTACTCTTAGATCAGAATTTTGTGTCTTTTGTCTTTTCGTAATTTATTTTGTGCTTAGTTCAGATCTGGTGAATCAATCCCTTTTCAACTGGGTTATAGCTTGTTCTCACGGTGTGCTGTTACCCCACTGTCTGACACAGGTTAGGAGCCTCATGACATCGCGAGGCCTTTTATAAGCCAAATAACCTTATAACGCCTAGAACTCATATTGCTGTGTAAACAAAAAGAGTCAGACGATTCCAAAGAGACAATTAAAACCCATTAGATGAAAAGAAACCGACAACATCATTGCAAAAAATACCGGTAAAACGACGAAAAGACAAAAAACACGGGATACAAAACTTTATACAGAAACCAAAAAGGGAGCAATATGATCACAAAAAAATCCCGGAAGTGATCTAAGCTACTCCGGAAGGGTAAGGCGTGCTTCCGGAAAAAGTGAGTAGAAGATATACATAGTCTTTAGTAAATGACCATCAGGAATTGTTGTATAAAATGTGCTGCCAAATTCCTTGAAAAATAATAATAATAGTGTTGTGTTAAATTGATAAACCTGCACCCTATTAACCTTAACAGTATTGGGTGAAAAAGTATAACATATATCTTTCGATTAAAATAATTAAAAACCTTCCTTGTTATAAGAAATTTTTAATACTTCTTACTAGTTATAACGATTGATAGTTATCTTTTTTTAATTTCGAGTATTATACTAATTTATATCTTATTAACAGTTATATATATGACTAGCAAGTTTTGATATCTCGAGTAGTAAACTGGCATATAACATTCCTTAATAAAATTTCATTATTCTTAGAAAGTAATAAAACTCCAATTTTTCAATTAGACATTTTTTTTATTTTCGTTCCTTGTATTATAAATGAAATTATTGAGGATTTCTATCAGATATACAAATATATCGAGTCTTTAGAAGAGAAATAATCAACACCCTGACTTCTGGGAAATCACTAGAGCTCCATACAACATGATCAAAATCATAAACTTATTCCCTGAGCAGAGGTTACCTTTAATAAGTCAGGTGCGGACATATTAAGTTGCCATAAACGGTTGATTTAACCTACGTACATTCCAAATATTAAATAAAAGGGGAAAAAGAAGCAAGCCTCTATCTCGAGGTTTAGAACAGAGCAGTGCACTTCTCTAAAGCTGAAGCTGTAAGTATTAGATTAAAGATCGCAGATTTTTTTACCATGCTGCATTGCATGTCTGTTTGTATGAAGGTATAACATTTTATATTTTTGCAAACGTTTGAGTGAATAAACGGAGTTTAAAGAATAGTACATTCGAAATAGATAGCAGAAATCTAAACTGTCTGTAATTTGTTTCAAATTCGTAAATGTTGGTTATTCTTTGAAAATATTTGATAAAATGAAAATACAAAAACTAATGGAATTGCATGATCTCCAAAAGGAGCGAGACCGGGTACGTTAACAGGGTAAGCGTCTTCTGCTATGCATACACCACCCACCATGTCAATGCATACACATACAGAATGTCACAATCGGTAAAATTACAGATCAGACGACTATGCTGGTATCTTGAGATCTAAGACCGTGAAAACATGTCGCTATTGAGTTGAGATCAACCAATTCGTGATGGTGACCGTTCAACGTATTTAGTGTCGATTGCAGTCGATCTTCTTCATAACTCTATTTGAGCAGTTTTTGAGTAAGGAGCAACCCCGTGTTAATGAAGTCTTTATAGTGTGAAATTGCACGAGCGTAACGTACTGTATTAACTGAAATATTTGAATAAGACGGGAAATGGGAAGTTGACATTGGGAAAGTGGAAATCAACATTTTTGTCTCAGATTCTAGTATGGGTCCGTCTATCTGTGTCACTATCGTGGACAAGATCAAGATCTGAAACAAACATTCTTCTTTTGGCAATATCATAAATATCAAGTTCAATGGGATATATGAGCACTCATTAAAACGTAAATTATTTTTAGTTAAAAATGTAAGTAAAAAGCTAGGGTTATTGAATGTCCGAATCTTCTTCGTCTTCCTATGAGGGAGATCAAACCTTAAGGAAAACAACAAAAAATAGCAAGCAGTTTTGTTTCTGTTTGATGACAGTTCAGCCCTTGTAATTAGTATAGGAAATAATTTTGTGTATGTAACAGTTCTATTTCGATTAGTTCTTCCATCCTGTCACTTTTTCAAAAATGGTTAAATACAGGAATTCAGTGTGTATTTTGAAGTATTTTGGTGTCAATTGCTCAAAGCACTGGTACATAAAATATACGTTTTTAGTATTTCGAAACATAGATATTTGTAACATAATATTTTATGCACGCCATTATGATTTTTTTTTATCGTTATGAGGTATCTGTGTCATAGAGACCACAGATTGTTTTCGAATTGTTGGCGCTTCAATCCCTCCGCTTTACGTCGAATCTCTGAATGAGAATTGTCAAAGAATTGGGCAATGGCCTTGTGCAACACGACGGTTGTCACACGTGGAGCAGGATCTTGTAACCTTTCTGATGCACCCGAGATCTTCCATGCTTTTTTGGTGGGATTTGTTTTGCTCAGCTTTTGATTGTTAGATTTGGTGTTTTGTATACTATTGTTTGTCTTTTAGTCATCTTCCCTTTTTGACATGGTGTCGGTGTCTTTACGACTTATGAACCTTTTTGACATGGTGTCGGTGTCTTTACGACTTATGAATTTTGTTTTTCCTTTATTATCTTCCGGCTTTCTATACGTGAGTTAATATGTAGTTAGTTATCACCCGTTCGTTTGTTTGGCTCATGAAAAAAAACCTTGTTTATTGTCATTACACATGTTCGATTTATATATCTACGTATCTATACAGTCTTGAAGATTTATACGCATTACATGTATGAATTTTAATCCTGGTATTTTTTTATGAGTCTTTCATTACACATAACACTTATAATCTGTTTTTCTTTTTGTTTGTTATGTTCAGATAAAAAATTATAACTTTGAATGGTTTATCTCTTTTTTTTGTATCTGATTTCATTATATATACATGTACTATTTACCAGATCGTTTTCCTGTACACTTATAATCACAGGATTTGCAGAAAACATGCTGAACATTTTAAGGGTCCAATTTTGAAAAGTAATGGTACAATATATTTTTGTTACAAGATTCCTACTGTAAGAACAACAAAACTAATTAAAAAGATGACTGTATTATTTAATAACACATTGATTCTACCAGGTCAAGACGGGGCTATATGTATTGCGTACAATAGCACTGTTTCTAAATACTGTTGAGTGATTTTTTTATGGAAAAGAGTCAATTAATTTCCTCTCTAGTACTGATAATGATGATTTCTTATTATCTTATACTTATTATAACTCCTTTAGGTAAATTTC